TAGGGGCTCCTGGCCTTACTACTAGGAGCAAGGACGCTACTAGGGGCTCCTGGCCTTACTACGCTATTAGGGGCTCCTGGCCTTACTACTAGGAGCAAGGACGCTACTAGGGGCTCCTGGCCTTACTACTAGGAACAGGACGCTATTAGGGGCTCCTGGCCTTACTACTAGGAGCAAGGACGCTACTAGGAGCTCCTGGCCTTACTACTAGGAACAAGAAGCTACTAAGTAGGGGCTCTTGGCCCTACTAAGCAAATTTATCCCAAAGGGACAAAGGGTGATATTGTCGTGCAATCATGCCGACCCTGAGCATTGATCCGGCGATGGTCAATCGTGTTGATCGAGACGTGCTCACTCGACCACCAGGCGCTGGCCAATGAAATGCAGATCCGACGAAGGGCCACCCAGTCGCCCAAAGGGGCGTTCATTACAGTCTGTTAAATGGCGACGGTTGTTTCTTTTTTCAAATATGCCACGTTCGGGTTGAACCTGTGACTAAGGTATCAACCTCCAAAAGATTGGACCCCAACATTACCAGGTGATCACCTTTATAACATGGCCATATATAAATCCTCCAAACAGAGGGGCTCTTGAAAACCATGCGATGTCTCCTCTTTCCTCGCACCGGCCTCGCCGAGGCCCACGGCGGAGCTCTCAAAGCCCGGAAGATGTGGTGAGGGGCTTGGAGCTTTGTCAATCGCACAACTTTTGGTAACAAGAAGCTACTAGGAACAAGTACATCGCTTCTAGTAACAAGTGCCTTACTAGTAGTAACAAGAAGCTACTAGGAACAAGGGTCCATTTGTCGAGGCCCAGGCTACTCTAGTCAGACAGGGGTGAGCGATTCCTCCAAAGCGACCCTGGGACCCGCCTTCGGCGCCGGACAGAACAGCTTTTCCTGACCTGTACGGGCCCGTGTGGCGATCAGTGGCAAGACAGCAAGGATCAAAAAAGTTTCCAGGTCCAAACAGAGAAGTGGTGGAAGTGGATGGTTTTTTGCAACCCCATTCTATCCTGTCCATGTCGGAGCCAGATTTCAACATACCTAGAAACCTCTCCTTGGGCAGAAATGTTTGCCTATTTGGGGAAAATGCGCCTTTGTCCATGGTTAGGTGTTCTTGTGCCTTCTTGGCGTTCCTTTTGGTGGCAATAAGGATCCACCCACCGGTTCCAGAAGTCCAGGAAGTTCCACAGCAATGAACACAATTTGTACAATTGGAATTCACTTGATGCTTCACTTGCATGTTGTTGTAGTGTTTCTATGCTTTCATTGATTGTTTTATCATGGGCGTTCTTCCCATCATTTACAGTCGTACCGTGGGATCGGGGGGGAGTGAGTGGTGATATGATCTGAGTTTTCAAGCACTTTAGATCGGGTTGTTTCTCAAAAACTGTTTCATTCAAATGATTCCGGTTCTGCCTCCTTCATGAAATTGCGTCTCGGCGTGTTCAACCCTGGAGGCTGCAGCTTAGGCTTTCTTTTTAGACACGCGCACTTGGCAGCCTAAATGATTTGCCTCATGACGATCTAGAGGTCTTTGGCGGCTCTCTTGCCTCGTGTCTTAGTCTTGTGATGTCTTGCTCAGCCCCCAACTGATGGAGCTCTTGATGTCCTTCCAGGTGCGCATGCTGCTCCTGGCAGCGCCAGACGCGGGCCGCCCACCCCCGGAGATTGTGGGTGCGGCGTTGAAGGCGCAGCTCGCTGGCGTGCTCTGTCCTGACCAACGGCATTGTAAATGCAAACTGAGATTGCACCATGATTCGTAGTAGACAGTACATTTCAACAAATCCATGTAGACCCTTAATCCAAGCTACTTGAAGTGTTTTGCCTGGAGGCTTTTTCCTAATTCGACATGTTCTTTGGCACTCGGGGCTGTATTTGCACGATTCAACTATTGATTTTGTGCTTCAGCCTGGACAGGGTGATGATATATAATATAAGACTGCCTGTTCCTTCTTCTTTTTTCTTCTAGTCAAATTTATATAACTATATAATTACATATATATATATATGTATTCTTTTAACTTTTGGCGGCATTGTAATTGGATACTTGGGATACTTGGGATACTTACAGCTGACAATTCGTTCTGTTGCGCTGTTTTGTAGTCAAGACTTCTTTGTAGCGGTCGAACCCTCATGGCCGCGCTTTGCTTATTGGCCCTGTTTGTAGGGGCAGCTGCTACTTCTGCAAATGACGACTGTCCGGAGAGCTCCTTCGACGTGAGAATGCTGCAACTGGAAACCAGCGTCTCAGGAACAAATACCCACCTCAAGAAAGGACAAGCGAGAAATCTCACAAACTGCGGACATTTGATTCAAGAGACATGCGATCCAGATGCCAATGCTTTCTGCTCCAACAATTGCAAGGTTCATACGCACGGACAGGATTGCTACCGGCCAGTTCCAGACGTCATGGCCGAACATCCTGGGGAGGATGGCTATTGCTACTTCAATCAAACTGGCTTTTGGGTGTCGCCTCTACCAGTGCCACCCAATTTTGAAACATCCTCCATCCAGGGCATTCTCGGGCTCAGAGGTGCGGATTATCATGGTAAAGATCAAGGTCCTTTGATCACATTTCACTTCGAGGGCCAGGTGGGGGGGGGAAACGATGGTCAACGAGTTTTCGGGGTCACCCGAGTGGGTCGGCTTACCGGCTTGCAGGTGCTTACAACTTATATGGACTTGCCGCACTACAGCTATGATGATCTCTATGGGTATTCGCTAGGGTACCTGCAGAACCAGGGCTTGGATGCTGTAATGATGAAGAACAGCAGCTTTTGGATTGAGAGGTCGAAGCAGAAGTGCTTGGAGATCCAAGAGACGTATCACTTTCAGAACGAATCTGGGCCAAAACACGTCAATCAAGCCACACGAAATTCGAAGATTGCACGTTTGGGCTTGGGATTCATTTTCATCAACCATTTAGGGCGGGAAATTTTTCGGAGACACGCAGCTATGCCTTTGGACTTTCGAACCAGAAGTACGTCACTTCTTTCGCCTCCGGCGCTCAGGAAGAGCTGGTCTTGGCCGATTGGCTGGATGACAACATCGTGCTTGCCACAAAGGTGTTGTGCAGCGCCAATATCACGGCAGAATTTCAGGCGCCGGCGATCCGGGAGAAGGCCAACTGGAAGAGCCTGCAGGATTGTGAACCCATCACCGCAAAAGACTTTGCAAAACATCATTACATCAAGTGCCTTCTGGGATACCCCAACTCTGCTTCGGATGGTGCATATTTGAATTCCCGTGCGTGCCTGTTGGAAGGCAATCACATAGGCCATTTCACTGACTGTCCCTATTCTCCACCTGTGAGCTTTTGAGATTTATCGTGACAATGCCGGCAGCATGTGGAAACAAGAGCGAGTGCTGCGTTATGAGCTTCCGCAAGAATGAACCCCCTCACATCCTCAGCTCCACATGGGCGGTAGGATCACATGGCACACGACCAGGCCGCTGGAGTGCAAATCAATGATGAGTTGCTTGACATCAAAGAGGCCAAGACAGGTGATTGATGAAAGACATTCGTGAAGAGCCCGAATGTACGTACCCTTATATAATCAATGTTTGGCCGGGTGCTTTACTGGGCATGTCGGCCTTGCGAATAGGAGTCAGGACAGAAATAGGTAAGATTCTGCGGGCTGGCCCCGAGTGAGCAAAAGCATTGGATCGCTCGAAGTGTCACATATCAGCAGTCGAGCATGACCAACCTTCGGCAATGGGTCTAGGCCCTAGGCTTTGTTTTAGGATGAAGTAGTTAGTATTGCTTTCCCTTGCTTTGCTGCCATCCTAGGAACTTGATTAGAGCACTGGAGGAGGCAGGGGATACACATGGATACAGATCCGGTGCTGTGACCTTCCTAAGATGCATCCATAACATGACTTGACTAGTTCCACAGCGTCCTGTACTATCCCCATGACTCAGCCTGCCCCCGGCAAACCAAACACCTGAGCGGGAGGCAGCCGGTGCCCGAGGTGGCACTCCCAGTCGAGAGGACGAAGCGTTTGAACAACCAAGTCGCCACACGTGCAACAGCAGTCACATCAGGTATCAAAATAAGACCTTGCAAAAAGGCTAGGCTTGAGCAGTACATAAAGCTTTTTTTTTGGGGGGGGGAGCTGGAGGACAACTGGGGCCCTAGGATGTTGGGCATGTTTGCTCCTGCGTTTTCCAGGATGTGGTCCGGGCTCGTTCTGGCGCACACGACTACAAGCTTGGCCCTCCCAGGGTACGAGCCTCATCACGCACATTGTGTTCAGCTACACTGTCAGTTCGGTATTTCCTCAAAGATGGCCGGAACCTGATGCAGTTTGAGGGCAGCCTGGCACGGGGCTCCAGAAGCCAACTGAGGACTCTGAGGGAAGCAGCGGCTCAGAGGACAACTCATCGCGAGAACCTCAGAGTGGGGCGACATTTGGCGACGCCCTTGCGTTTCGCGTGTTTCAAGGAAAGCTGAGCGCCCCAAGCCGGACCGGGTGGTGTTTGAGCGGCCACCGTGGGGTCGGAGACGCAGACATCAGGGCCCCTTTTTAACAAGTTCGTCACTGTGCTGTTGAGTTTGCAATTTGGAAATTGCTGACATAGTATTAGATTAGATTTGTGCAAATGTTTGTTTTTTTGTTTTGTTTTTTGATTCTATCTTCTAGATCCTGTTTTGTACTGGGTGCTCGGGTTAACTTATCTCGAATGGCATGAACTTGTGCCAGATGAGGTGTGCCCTTGGGGGAAAGCTTGATTTGGCTACCTTTTGTATGTATGTTGTTGATGATCGCAGGTTGAGAATTCGACCAAACCGCAAGGGCACACTATTGATTCTGTCTCAAGTTCTTGTACTCCCAAGTGCGTCGTTGCGATTTCATGTTTTGGCTTCACTACATTGTGGCTAGGGCTTTTTCAAGAGTCGTTGCGAAACGGTGTCCCCAAACAGTTTTGTGTCTAGGAGTCGAGTGTAGACGATCATTGCTTGGTCACTTCATACTGTGTGTTTGTTTGTTTTGGTGACTGGTGCTTGGAATGCAACCAGCCTAAGTTGCGCTTCCCAACCAATGTTGGGGCAGACAGAGGGCAGGCCTCATTTGCCTCATGCATTTGTTTCTACATACTGGGTGCCTGTGTTTACCCCTATCGTGGTCAAGATCTCGCATCGAAGCCGGTGTGCCATTGGGGGGGGGCCATCAAAGCAGTGCAACCTAGAAGAGATGAGAAACATACTTCTCCATCTTATTGATGCCAGATCTGCGTGGCACACTGGCTTTGACGCGTTCACACTGCAATGTCTGTGAAACCAGTATACCATTTGGGTAAGCTATCGAATAGCTATGAATTTGAACTTGTTTCTAGAGGTTTCTTTTGGCAACCCATATAGTTGAAGCCTTTTCGAGAAGGCCCCATCTCCATCAAAGCGGATGAGCGAGGAGCAGTCTGATTAAAAGTCGTTGCGAAGCGGTGTCCCCATACAGTTTCGTGTCTAGGGGTGGAGGCGTTTGTTGTTTGGTAATCTATGGTAATCAATACATGTCGGGCTTGCTGCTGTTGGTTTGCAGCTGGTTGGCTGCTACTGGTTCGCTGCTGCTGCCGTTCTGCTGCTGGTTTTCTGCTGCTGGTGGTGCTGCCTTGCTGCTGCTGGTTGGCTACTGCTGCTGCTGGCGGTTGGCTGCTGTTGGCTTGCTGCTGGTTGGCGGCTGCAGCTGCTGCTAGCTGCTGCTGCTGGCTAATTGCTGCCGGTACTGCTGCTTGCTGCTTGTCGCTGCCGCTGCTGCTGCTGCGGCCTGGGCTATCAGTTGCTGCTTGTCATTGTCTTGCATATTATAGCAGGTTTCTTCCATTGCAGGCTGGGTATTGGAAACATGGTTTCAAGCTTGGTGGCAGGCCTGTTTGGTGAAACGCGGTGCCCCATGCGGAAACAAGTATCGCAAGGACGTTGCCGTGACTTAGTCGTAAGGACTTTTTTGTTTGGGTGTTGGTGGGCACGGGTCTTCTGGGCAAACGTGTTCATCTCGCCCAATACCTCGCCCACACCTCGCCCTCTATCTCGCCCAGCCCACCAGGCACCAGGACCCCCAGAGGTGTGCCATGGGGATTGCCATTGTCACAACACATATGTGTAAGCAAAGGCCTCTTCAATTTACATTGGCCCCCGAGGCAAGGAGCGATTTGCAGGTTCATGTTTTCAAGCGTTCATGTTCACATTTTTCGACAGGTGTGCCATGCGGAAGAGTGTCCTGCACAGTCGTTGAAAGATAGGAACGCGCACGCGCGCACAGACACCAAAGAAGGCAAAACGCAAGCTAACCATGGGCTTTGTCGTGGTCTGAGCATACTTCTGGCAGAGATCGGAAGCCGGTGTGCCATGGGGATAATGTGGGATTTGCTCCTGTGACGTGGAATGAGTGAAAACGGTGTGCCATGCGATGATGTGGTTTCTAGCCTGCTGGTTTGCTGCTGGTTGGGTGCTGCTGCTGCTCTTGCTGCTGCTGCGCTGCGCTGTTTTGCTGCTGCTGGTTGGCTGCTGCCATTTTGCTGGCGCTGGTTGGCTACTACTGCTGGTTAGCTACTGCTGGTTAGCTGCTGGCTTGGTGCTGCCCGCTGTTTGGCTGCTGCCAGCTTGCTGCTGCCAGCTTGCTGCTTCTGTTTGGCCGCTGCTGGTGGGATGCTGCTGGTTACCTTGTGCTGCTGTTGGGTTGTTGGTGTTGTTTTGCTGCTGGTTGGCTGCTTGCTGCTGCTTGCTGCTGCCGCTGCCGCTGCCTGCGCTACAAAGCCTACTCATTTGTTGCTGGCTGTTGTTGCACAAACCCTAGGTAGTAGGTAGTAAGTAGTAAGTAGTAGGTAGTAAGTAGTAAGTAGTAAGTAAGGAAGTAAGTAAGTAAGTAAGTAGTAGTAGTAAGTAGTAGTAGTAAGTAGTAAGTAGTAAGAAGTAGTAGTAGTAAGTAGTAAGTAGTAAGTAGTAAGAAGTAGTAGTAGTAGTAGTAGCAGTAGTAGCAGTAGTAGTAGTAGTCGTAGTGGTAGTGGTAGTGGTGGTGGTAGTGGTAGTGGTAGCAATGGTAGTTCACAGTTCGGGACCCGAGCTTCGGGGCCCGAAACTGAGAAGCTTCCGGGGCCGTAGTAGTATTAGTAGTAGTAGTAGTAGTGGTAGTAGTGGTAGTAGTGTTAGTAGTGGTTGTAGTGGTAGTAGTGTTAGTAGTAGTCGTCGTAGTGGTGGTGGTGGTGTGGTAATCAGTGGTAGTAGTAGCAGTAGTGTGGCAGTGGTAGTGGTAGTGGTAGTAGCAGTTGCTGTTGGACACCGTTTGGGGCCCGAGCTTCTGGGCCCGAACCTGGGAAACTTCCGGGGCCCGAGCAGTAGTAGTAGAGTAGTAGTAGTGGTAGTTAGTAGTCGTAGTCGTAGTAGTAGTAGTAGTAGTAGTAGTAGTAGTAGTAATAGTAGTAAAAATAACAATAACAATAGTAGTAGTGGTAGTGGTAATGGTAGTGGTTGTAGTACTAGTAGTAGTAGTCGTAGTGCTAGTAGTAGTAGTAGTAGTAGCAGCAGCAGCAGCAGTAGTAGTAGTCGTAGTCATTGTCGTTGTCGTTGTAGCAGCAGCAGCAGCAGTAGCAGTAGTAGTAGGAGCAGTAGTAATATGTACTATACATGCTGGAGGATGTTGCCTGTCTCAAGTCTCTTCGCAAACAGCTGCGCCAACAGATATGGAAATCCATCCGGCCCAGTCACTCTGGCATATCTTCGAACTGATTGCTCCCACATTATGGTGAGTTTTGCGGTTCTCGATTTTGCTTGGTTGTGATTGTATGTGTGGTTGTGTGTTTGTGGTTGTGCAGTGGTTGTGTATTTGTGGTTG